GAAAAGGTATTGATCTGTCCAGACATTCCATCAGTTCTTTCAAATCCTCAGTTGAAACAGAGAGTCCTTTTACTAACAGCTGCCAACAGCTGTGACCACTGAGTCCCTGCAATGTCAGACAGGCAGGAGGTGGTTTTCTTGACCGAGTTTAAGACCCACAATAAATATTCCTAAAAGTACTAAAACTAGACCTACATGTGTTGTGTGTTTTTTTTTAAAAATCCTGCCTTTGTTTAAAAAAAAAGCATTTAAGGGATATTTATTCTCTCACTTAGAATTTCGAATCTGCTTGTTGTTGTAACATGCTGTGTTGAATCAGTCCCAACTCATAGAGACCCTGTAAATCTTTGCGGGAGCAGAAAGCCTCATCTTTCTCCTGTCGAAAATGCTTACCAATCACAAAATATAAAATGCAGAGCTGCAGTGACTAATTAAAAAGGAAGGAGAAAGGACATCAGTAGAGAGTGATCAAGTTATCAAGCCACTGATTTCCTAGACACCTCCACACTGATGCCTTCAAGCAGGGCTCTCATCTTCTCACTTTTGCTAACTTTGCTTTTCAATGTGCCCTAGGGATATGGTTTGGGTTCCTTATAAAAGAAGAACAAGAACATGCAAGCCAGGAGTCCCGGGAATTTTATTCATGGCCTGCTGAGTGACCATGTAAAAGGAGGCTACTCCTCAAAGTGGGCATCTGTAACCAGCCTGTAACCTGGCCTATTGCTAACCTAGTAGAAGCCTCTACATCCTACACCATTCATTCTACAACAACTCTCAGGAAAACAAGCTTTTGTTTGCAGGGAAAACCCTCGACTTCTGAATCAGCTAACCTCTCCTTACTCACTTTGATCATCACATCTTCTTGTTACTGTTAAGTGCTGTTGAGTCGTTTCTGACCCATAGTGACCCTGTATAGGGTTTCCAAGGAGCGGCTGGTGAGCTTGAACCACCAACCTTGTGGCTCAAACAACTTTGCAGTTCAGCGTATTAGCCCGCCCACAGCACCACACCAGGACTCCATCAGATCTTCGTCGTCATCATCGTGATGTGCTGTGGAGTGGGCTCCAACTCATAGCGACCCTGTACAGGGTTTCCAAGGCTGTAAGTCTTACAGGAGTAGAAAGCCTGATCTTTTTCCCGCGGAACAGCTGGTAGTTTTGAACTGCTGACCTTAAGGTTTGCAGCCTGATACATAACCACTACACTACCAGAGCTCCTTATGAGGTGCAAATTGCCTTCGACCACGTTACAGTTGGTACTTCAGAAAGTTTTAAGCTCTCAACAGTCTCTGCTTTGTTCCAGTTTCCTCCAATAAACAGTAAAAATGAGATGCATTAAAATCCAAATCACAAAACATTTGTGCTAAGAGAGACCTCAGAGATCAGTTGGTTCCACCTCTATTTCAGAAGGGGAAAATTAAGCCTGAGAAAGAAAATGACTGGCCCAAGGTCTCATTGTTGGGAAGGGGCACAGCCACGACTCCTTCCTAAGTATAAGGGCTTTCTGCCTAGTTCTCAACATTTTAACCTCTGCATTCTTTCCTTTTCTTCATGGCATCCTGCCTTCCTTAGACAGTCACTGCTTTTGCCGGTGTCTTAAAAAGAAATTAAAAACCCATTGTCATCAAATCGATTCTGACTCATAGTAAGCCTCTAGGACAGAGTACAGCTACCCCATGGAATTTCCAAGGTTGTAATCTTTACTGGAACATACTGCCCCACATTGTTCTTCTGTGGAGCAGCTGTTTCAAACCATCAACCTTTTCATTAGCAGCTGCATCATCAAAGGCTCTTTTTTGTTCTAAAATAAAGTGATGATTTTCCTTTCTGTTAATACAATATATCTTCAATATACAATTTTTGTAAAATGTAGTGGGGTTGTTGTCATTGTTTACTTACAGAGCTAATATGTTTTTTGGTAGTGAATTTGAAAAGTGCAAACATCAAAAAACAAATACACTGACACAGAGTAAAGTCAGACTTAGAGTGACCCTATACAGGGTTTCAGAGACTGCAAATCTTTATAGGAGCAGAAAGTCTTATCTTTCTTCCACCACGGCTGGTGGTTGGTGGGTTTCAACTGACAACCTAGCTATTAACAGCCTAAGCCTAACCCACATTGCCACCAGAGCTTCTTACAGAACAATATTGTTGCTGTTAAGCAATGTTGAGTTGGTTCTGACTCACAGCAACCCTACATAGGGTTTTCAAGGAGTGGTTGATGGGTTTGAACTGCCAACCTTATAGTTAGCAGTTCAGTGTTGATCCTATTCCATAGGACAGTATAAAGAATCAGTCGGACCCAGAATCCATGGTCCCACCACCTGGGGGAGTCACCACTGCTAATATTTTGGCTTAACCCCTTTCTATCTTTTTTCCTAAACATTTCATATAATTAAATTATACTTCATGTATAATTTTATATACTGCTTTTCTTTTCACTTAAGCATTTTCTTATTGGACTAGGACAACTCTACATATGTGTATTATATTTCTCTGTCTTCAGCAGGAATACATTTATCCGTTAAAAGAGTAATCAAAGCCTGAAAAATCACAGTCATATCTTTGCTCTGTGGTTTTGTAGTCTTTTTGGTGGGCTTTAGGGAGATTGTTTTGAAATTATCTTGTTGCCAAAAAGCTGCATGTACTTTCTTTTGTTTGTTTACTTGGATCCAGAAAAACCTCCCACTGAAATGATGCTGGCCACATCCTGCTCAAAATAAGCCAATATCAATACACATGTATATTTGCATTTGAAATACGATGCACATTTAAAGTGCTGTTTTCAAAGGGAAAGTTACACTGAAGCAAATATACATGCATATTATGTTAGCTAAGTGCTGTCGAGTCAGTTCCGACACATAGTGACCCTAAATAGGATTCCCAAGTGACTGGTAGGTTTGCACCGATGACCTTTTGGTTAGCAGTCCAGTGCTTATTCTATAGTGACATACTAGAACTCCATTAAAAAGACCATAATCAAATAGTCATTGACAATCAACCTTATAATCTCAAAGTAAGAGCACTAGCAAATAAGTTCCCTCACCCATACCCCTACCATCACCATTCTCTGGGGCTGGGGTCTTTGAGTCATTTCAAGTTCAGAACTATTTCTCCCATAATTCCTTCTCAGACCTGGATGAACATCATTGCATAAAGGGCCACTCGCTTTCCTTGTTTAGAACTGGGAAAAGATTCACTTGTTCATAAAAGCAGAAACACATAGTAAGACCACTGTTAGCTCCTAACTATAGAAACGTCATGTGGGACTCTGCAACTGGAGAGACTTAAGGGGAAAATCTACAGCTGGGATAAACTGTCCCTTGATGCCCTAGCATGTCATCCCATGCCCAACTTTTGTCTAAATTGAAAGAATAAGCTACAACAATCCTTAAATGAAACCAACTATGAGAGCTCAATCTTGGCCAATATTTTAGCTGGAGATTCAAACAGGTCATACTGCTAACCTCAAGGTCAGCAGTTTGAAATTACCAGCTATTCCACAGGAGAAAGATGAGGCTTTCTACTCCCATAAATATTTACAGCCTCAGAAATCCTCTACAGGGTGCCTATGAGTCAAAACTATTTCCACAGCTTGCCACCACCACCACAAGTAAAAGAAGACAACATGTGTCAAATGCATGACAAATATGGTAATGACATAAGGTTTACTAATATGTAGGACAATCATACTAGAAGCGAACTAAGACATGCATGCTTTCATCAGGGTTGTAAAGAAATGCTAAAGCTTGGACTTTATAGACTCTATTTTCTGAAGTTTGATCAATACAACTTGGCCTTTTGAAGGATGCTCCAATGGCCAGCAGTCCTGCTAACTTTTGTGGACAGGATCAGAGGTCACTCAAAAACTGATGATGACTAGCTCACCAATGGGAAGGGCAGTCCTTCACCTTCGTGCTGAGACGGTCATAAGCCAAATACTTCTACCCTGGCTCAGGCGTAAAGTGTTTTATGTTACTAATTGTCCATGGGTGGTACAAATGGCTAATGGTGACTGCTAACCATGAGGGTGAAAGTTTGAGTTCACTCAGAGGCTCCTCAGAAGAAAGGCCTGGTGATTTACTTCTGAAAAATCAGCCATTGAAACCTCTCTTCCACTCTGACACACGAGCTCGCCATGAGTTAGACTCAATTTGACAGTACCTGGTTTTTCATGTTATCAATCAAATCTGAGGTCTGACAAAGGCCTAGTGGTCTTCAGCAATCCACAGCACTTGAAGACTGGTCTGCCAAGTGACGACATAAGTAACATTGTCAGTTACTTCCGATAGTGCCGAAGCCCCACTAGGACCCTTCAATCATTCCCAGCACTGGCTGTGTTTGCAGAGAGAGACTTTGCAGCTCATCCATCTGTCCATTATGGAAAACCAAAGACCAAACCAACTGCCGTAGAGTCCACTGGGACTCACAATGACCCCTTTGGACAGAGTAGAACTGTCCCATTGGGCTTCCAAGACTGTAATCTTTATGGAAGAAGACACATGTGGAGGTGTTGGCCACCAAGTTAGGAACATTTAAAGAAAAATAATTTAGAAAATCATGCTTAAGAGAAAAAGTTACACCACAAAAGGCAAAGTCTAGTGTTACTGTGACCCTTGCTCTATAATGCTAACAGCATGGCTTAATGGAAAGAGTACAAGCTTGGGAGCCAGATGGACTGTGTTTCAGGTACCAGCTCCATTTAAGTGAGCAACTCTAGTGATCATTCCTAATTGGTGAAAAGAACATAATACTTCAGGGGCCCCTGACCAGTGAGGATGCAGCCTGGTACAAAGACTCAGTTGCAAGGCAACTATTAACTATAAATCACATGTTCCCAACATTTATTTTTAGAACTGCACATCTCCATCTGTTTAAAGAATGTGCCTACATCCTTTGAGAAACTTGCTATTTCTTTTTTTTGATATTGCCAACTCCAAACAGTTTTGAAGTCATCCCAAACAGTCAATGTGAGTCCAACTGGAGTTTCAAAATATTTACCTGTAAGTTGTTGTTCAGCAAATCAAAGTCACTATATCTTCTAACAATCTGTAAAATACAAGACAGTGGTATTTTGATTCAGCAAAGACCATTGCTTTCAGATACACTACATTTCTTGACTTAAATACTTATTAGCATTCAAGAGTAGATGCACTTGCACTAAAAGTAGAAGGGTGCTTGGCCGCCCCAAGAAGTAGATCTACCAGTGCCCCAAAGTTGGCTGGGCCACGGGAAACTGGCTAATGCCAACCAAACTTGTGGACACCCACAGGTAAGTGAGAATGACTAAGCATTCATTTCCAGAACAAGTAGCCCTTTAAGTAATTTTCTTAATATCCAGGTCTCTGGAAAGCTGAATTAAAAATTAAATTAAAAGTTTTACTGATCATGGCATCAAAGCAAAAGGAGGTAGACAGTTCTAGACCATTTATCCTTACCCTGAATAAAAATTCTCCTAATTGAAATCTCACCACTCTAGAGATAAGAGATGGGAATGTCCCCAAGAACAGAGCTGCCACACTCTACCTTACCAATTTGATCCATTGGACCAGACGTCCCCTTCTTCTTCTTTTTCATTTCTAGCAGACAGTTGACCTTGGATTCTCTACATTTTATTCTTAGTTATGTTGATGCCATTAACTATGCCACAGCCAAATTCTACTAGCTTCCCAGACTGGACAAGGAAATTATTTTGCTTTTGAATAGTTTGACCAAATCTTAGCAGGTAATTCTTAAAAGTTAGTGTGCAGAATTATCAAGCCACGGAGAATCTAGTTCCATAAGTAAAAGGTGGAGCTCAAGACCTTATATTTTCATTATGTATCACCATGAATTCAAATGCAATTCATCTAGAAAGCGGCTCCAAGGTTGATTTTTACAGTAAGACAAGGAAATTGTACCTTACAAGTTTTCAAGTGGGAGTTTAGTTTCAGAGGGTATGGGGGATGATAGAATCTCTACTGAGTGGTTTCCAACCTGTCTGGATGGAACTGGTAAAAGGAGATGGGGATAAGACTCTTGCGATTCAATAGTTAATAATTGCTATCAGGACTGACTGTGACTGTTGCAAATGTAAAGATAGACATTTTGTAACAAATAGAGGGGAATGGTTGATCTTGCAGTCCAGGAGCAGAGGACCCTGGGACCATCAAGGGAGAAGAGCGGGAGCAGAGTATGGGACCCTATTTGGAGAAGCAGCGATGCCAGAGATGGAGGCAGAGATGATGACATGGAGAGATGGAGCGGCTGAGGACTCTAGACTCCTGGAGGGAGAGGGGCCATGTGCTGGTGGCCGGGGGTGGGGGGGAGGTGGGAGCAGGCTTGGAGGGTATGTCCTTTGGTTGTTTGAATGATAATATATTTCTGAGTGTTCTGGTATACATCAAAACAACAAAAAACAAACAGAGGGACTAGAAGTAAGTACTGTTGAATGATGATGCATGGAGGGGACTATAAACATTGCAATGAAACGAAACACAATAGGATGAGTATAAAGCTGATGTTCTCCCATGTAAACTATCACTCAATTCACAATAAAAACAAAAACAAAACAAACAAACAAAGAACAGCAGTTCTCACAGAATTTTAAAGTATAACTACAAGCAGGCTATCTTGGAAACTGAATCTAAATGAAGTGGCATTGTATGTAAAAATCTGTTGTCTTTTCCAGCCAAAGTAAATTGGGTTTTCTCATAGACAGTCTCCTTAGGATTTATTGTCTGTTTACCACATAATTTATGAATGAGCCGCAGCTATCTGTTGCTTGCTAGTTTGACTGCTGCTGTCTTTTATTTAAAAAAGAACTTAAGGTAACAATCAATAACAAATTCCACCACATAGTTTAAAAAAAAAAAAGTTGGGCAGTGAACGCGGAAGACTGTAGAAGAACTGATGCATTTGAGTTATGGTTTTGAAGGAGACTATTCAAAGTACTATGTAAAGCCAAAGGAACAAAGAGATCTGTGTTGGAAGAAGTACAGCCAGAATGCTCCTCAGAAGCCAAGATGACCAGCCTTTGTCTCTCATACTTTGGGCATACTATCAGGAGGGACCAGTCCCTGGAGAAGGATATCATAAAGTGGAGGGTTAGGAGAAAAAGAGAAAGAACCCCAACAAGATGGATTAGCCACAGTGGTGGCAGCAATGGGCTCAAACATAGCACTGATTGAAAGGTTGGCCCAGGACTGAGCAGTGTTTTGTTTGGTTGTGGATAGGGCCGCTATGAGTTAGTACCAACTCAATGGCACCTGATAACAACAACAATCTGGAGGCTTGGGTAAACCCCTAAAACTACTGTCCTGAGATAATCTTTAAACTTTAAAATTTAAACCAAAAATATCCCCAGAAAAACACTTTAAATCAAATGATAGTTTACCTTAATTAGTAAAGAATATCTCCTAGAGCATTATGCTTTTTAAAAACCATATGAGATCGCTTTTGGCTGGAGCCGCCATCTTGCAGTAATCCACCAAGATGACAAACATAAAGGAAAAGAGGTAGGGTACCCACTCTATGCTCTCCAGGCCTTTTAGAAAACATGGGGTTGTTCATTTGGCAATATACATGCAAATCTACAAGAAAGGCGATGTTTTGGACATCAAGGGAATGGGCACAGTTCAAAAAGGCATGCCCCACAAACATTACCATGGCAAAACCGAAGAGTCTACAATGTGACCCATTATGCTGTCAGCATTGTTGTGAACAAGCAAGTCAAGGGAAAGATTCTTGCCAAGAGAATTAATGTGCACACTGAGCATATTAAGCACTCTAAGAGCTGAGATAGCTTTCTGAAGTGAGTGAAGGAAAATGATCAGAAAAAGGAAGCCAAAGAGAAAGGTACCTGGGTTCAACTAAAGCACCCGCCTGCTCTCCCTTTTCCCCTCTGAGAGGCACACTTTGTGAGAACCAATGGAAAGAAGCCTGAGCTGCTAGAACCTATTCCTTAGGAATTCATGGCATAACAGAAGTGAAGTAAAGATGTCTGAGGTGTCCATAAAAACAAAACAAAAACCATATTAGATCAAATTGACAAGAGCAACTTGAAAGATTAGACAGACATTTTAGGAGGCTGTGAGTTTATTATTAAAGAGGAGAAATCATTCTGAAAAGAAAGCTTTGCAAAATTTGAAGAATGTAATCAATGTCATGGAATTGTACATGTAGAAATTGTTGAACTGGTGTATGTTCTGCTGTGTATATTCTAACATCAACAATAAAAAAAATAGATTTCTGTTTTAAAAAGGTAAACATACAGCACATTAAAAGAAGCACAAGAAAGCACAGAAGTTTCCAAACTCACCAGAAAACATAGATTCTAACTATTGTCTGTCACTGATCTGAGTGTGACCTAGGACAATTTACTTTCCACTCAAATGTAAAATGGGGATAATAGAAGGACAAGTAAAAAAGTACCCACATTCTGGCTGTAGAATTCACTGCTAATCAGATTTTTTAAAAAGACAAAGTACATCATTTTTCAACACAATCTCCTTGTTTTTCAATACACTTTGTCCATCTGTGAACAAACTTACATATTCCATTATTAAAACATGTTTTAGGCTGAGCTGTAAGCCACTAATGCACCATTGTCTTCACTTCTTCATTAGAGGTCAATCCTTATCCTCAAAGGGCTGCTTTCAGGGGACAAAACAGGTGAAAGTCTGATGGAGCAAGACCAGGACTATAGGGAGGATGCTTTAATACCTCAAAACAAAATTTGTACAAAATGCCAACAGTGTGTGGACACACACTGTTATGCAGGATCATGATGCCCTTGGATAGCAGTCCTAACTGTGTTTAATCTAAAGCTTACACTTCAGCTCTGCAGTGAGCAAGTCACTGTAACAAGCACTGTTTATTGATGAACTTTTTCCCTGATAGAGTTCCAATAGTGGACCCTGGAGAATCCCAGAAAACTGTAAACATCAATTTTTCAGCTGAGGGTTGACTTTTGAACTTTTTCTTGGTCAGCAACTGAGGATGTTTCCATTCCACACTCTATCATTTATTCTTAGGCTCACAGTGATGAATCCAAGTCTAATCACCAGTAACAATTTTTTTTAGAGACTTTTATCTTCTTTTCAGTGTCAGTCCAAATTTTGTTTGCAGATGTGTAAAAGCTTCTGTTTATGCTCTTTCACGAGTTGTTTTGGTACCCATCTCCCACAAGCATTTCAAAACTCAAGTTTGTCATG